ATACATATATAATAAAGTACACACAATATAATATATACTACATATATACGTATAACATAACATATATACATAATATGTACACACAATATATACATATATCATACGCATATAATATACAACACATATATATATATATAACACATTATATATACACACATATATAGTATATAATATACATACATACATATATATACAGTATAACAGTAGGAAGACTAACAAAGACTTTTTGGTGAGTTTTATTTGTTTTGTCACTATGAATTGCAGTTATCATATAACAGAAGAAAAAAAGAAACCAGCAGGCAAGAGAGTGAGATGTTACAAGGGCGTGAGATGGAGCTGCAAGTATATGATGTTAGAGGAAAAAACAAAGAAGGAAGAACAAGCAAAAGGACCAAAAAACCCCCTTTCCGCGATTTGAAATTGGTAAATAGTAGTATGATGGCAATGTTTTTGATTGTGTCTAAAAAAGTAAACAGGCCTCCTATATCCTTGTAAAAGACAATACCTTTCACAATAAGGTAGAGCGAGGAAATCATAGAAGGTACAAAGACAAAAAAATAATGAGCGCTAGATCTAGCGAAACAAAAAAAGGGCCCCATCGGAGCAGAAAGCCTTTACGTTTAGCGACATTAATATAATAACGACAACCAAAAAGAATTATAGCAAATAAACAGATAATAAGCAGTTGGCTTAGACATAGCGCACATAAGCTTCAAACAAAAGCATATAATATATGTCACTCAATTGTAACTAACAACCAAACTTTACACAAAACAAAGTTGGGTGGGGGCGCCAATACCCTACACGGTAATATAAGCTAAACAAAGTAAAACACCACAAGCAACTTAAAAGTCACGGTAAATTACAAAACCCAATCTGCAAAACGCGCTAACAACACAAAAGGCCTCGCTAGAAATGTTCAAAATAGGGTCTAGAGTCAGTCCGGGATAAGTGTGCACCAATGTAAAAATGTCTGAGAATATGGTCTTTTTTGTACTACAAGGGCGTACAAATAAAAGTAGCGACATCATAACTGCATCCAAATTCTTTTGTTTTTTTTCCATTTCACCAAACTTTTTAACTGGAAAAAAAAAAAAAAACCAATTTTTTCTTCCAAAACAAACTTAAAACGCAAGGGCAAACTAGTATAATTTCTACAGCCTCTTAATCACATTAATAGAGCCATAAAAAGAGGGAATGTATACGTATATATGTATGTATGTATGTATATATTTTATATGTATCCAGTCTAATAGTCTAATTGATTGTATTTTATAATGTAGTTTGAAAGGGTTCGGGTGCAGAGAGAGTGCAGGTGGTAAATTGACGGTCCTTGTCCTCCTCGTCTCTCCAGCTACCGTAACCTCTCTGTTTCCATCTGTTTTCTTCTTGTTGTGCATTGCAGCATACATGAGTGAGGCAGATGGTTTTATGATGGATGTACATGTCTGTTATGGTACAGATAAACACGTGTGTTAATGCTCTGCTGGTATTCGAAGGGTTGCCTAGTGACATGACACTAATAGCAGTCTACCCATGGGTCACTGTGTTGTCCGCTAACATCAGTCTTTTCTTATTTACATTTACATTCCTTCCTATCTGCCCAATGACTTCCTCACCTGTGTGTTTCTGCTTGTCTGTGCAGGAAGCGAGCGAGCCACAGCGCCAGTAAGAGGAAGGGCAGCCAGAAGGACCTGCGACCTCCTGACCTCTGGATCCACCACGAGGAGATGGAGATGAAAAACATGGAGAAAGCCCCCAGTGTCGCCCCGTCGGGACACGATTCACCCATCCAGTCCTGCCAGGACCTTCCCCAGGTCGCACACAGCCAATCAGAGAGCCAGATGGGCAGCAAGAGCAGCCACTCAGGTACCGGATGGATGCTGATTCCTCTGTTTATTTATCCACATATATGTTATATGTGGTTGTATTTAAATGTATATATTATATCATGTACAACCATTTAAATAACCAATACGTAACTTGTAATTTGTATTTACTTTTATTTAACATGTAACACACTCTGCCTCCTAACTTTTTGCTGTTTTTAATTATTTAGATTTATTTCTGGGGGTTTTTTTATGATGGAGATTTGATATTAGGGTTCATCTCTGTGTTGCCTGGCAACATCAAAATCAGTGTAAACACTGAAATTATAAATGCATTTGTGATTTGAGTGTTTTTACATCTGCATGCTAAATATTTCTTCTTTATTATTTCTATGGTGATTACTGATTGATATCCACTGTGAGTCTTGATTAAATAACCCATACCACATATGAAGCCTTGATTCATCATGAATAAAAACACTAATGCATTAAGCAACAATATTTTCCTCCCAGTGGAAAAGCTTAAATAGGGCAGAGAACATGTTACAATCCCTGTTTTGATGATTGGGTGTTGTTCCAGGAGCTGACGGTGACGAGGCATCCAGCAGTATCTCCACTCTGGAGCGCTCCCTGGCTGCAAGGAGGGGGACACGAGGCAAAATGATGATTCCTATGGACTCACAGCCGAGCAACACACGTAAGTAACACAACTCCATTTGTGTGTTTGCATTTGATGGCTCTAAGAAACTCTTCTAACTGAAAGGTTTACAGCAGCAAACACTGCTAGCATGGCTAAAAATGTACCTTAAATGATGAGCTACCTCGAGGTGGTGCCTAACATCAGGGATGTTTTTGATCATTTAATCATTTAGTGATGAAATAGTTTCAGATGTTTGTGAATTGGCTCCTTTTGTTATTGTTTTTTCCAGCCTGTGACTCTACCGTTTGATCCTTGACAAAGGTAGTATTTTCAATTAATGTGGAGCTGACAGTGAGCAGGAACTCCTACTTTGCATGTGAAATAGCTGAAAATCACATGGGCCTCCATATTGTGATTTAATCCAAATTAAAATGTTTCATATGTGGCAAATTCTGTGAAACACTTGAAAACTTGAACGGCTACTCTAGGCTACTGCAGAAACATAGTGTTGCAATGTGGCAGACTCTGTCGATGAGGACCTACTCCCTGTGTTGACGGCTCATTTTGAGGTAGCGAAAACAATAGATCTTCCTAAATGTTACACACTGGACCTTTAACAAGTCCACAGATCATCAATAAATACCTGCACAGGTTCCTTCATTCAGGACCAGACCCAGCATCAACTGAATACATTTTACACTATGCTCTACACGATGGGTTGTGGTTCTCTCTATTGGTGCATGGGATGTCACATGACATGTCTGCAGCAGTGGGGTGTCTTAGGGTGACAGTGGTTCATCTCTCTCTTCCTCTTTGTGTTTAAAAAAAAAAAGTATTTCATGCAAAGACAGAAGTGAAGTCAGGGGAGGAGAGAACACACAGACACACACAGAAAATGACACACTCGCACACACTTTCTCACCCTGATAATTAGCCTTTATGTTCCCTCAGACTGACTCAGAGGACAGAGAGGATAGGAAGAAGATCTGAGGACGAGCGAATGGGGAGAGGAGGATGAGCATGGGAAAGAGAAAAATAGGGAGGGAGAAAGTGAGAGATAGAGAACATATGTGAGAGAGAGAGAACAGAAGTGTTGCTCTGAACCCTCCTTTAGTGTCAGTTTACAGTGCGAGAATGGCTGAATGGTTCCAGATGGAGGACTGTCTGAAACTTGTGTTTTCAAGCAGTGACTCTGATGATGTTCAGTCACATTTGAGCTTTTAAATCAGACAGAAATGAACTTGAATGAATTTTAATATCTGTCCACCTCAGTTGTGTTTGTACTGTGCTTTTTGTTTGTCATTCACACTTTCTGTTTGGAGTATTGATCAATTACATTTAATGTTCTGCAATCACATAAAAAAAATTAAACAACAGTTAAGCGCTAGTTGGCTGCCGAACAAAAGAATATTTTTTCCACGCCCTCTACAGACACATAGAAATGTTTTCTGATCCGACGCCTCTGTCAGCAGGGGACGTCATTTGTCTGTGCCTTCTAAAACTGCTACAAATCGCATTTGATAATCTGATTTGATGATCTGTTTTGGGATATGACAATACTGTGGTTAAGGTTTGCTTAACAATTATTTAATCAATTCAAATGTAAAATATGTGATTATGATAGAAACCCCATTTTAAAATGTGACATTGCAGAGTTAGACACCTTGATTCTTTCCAGTTCACTGGATCCACCAACAGTTTCTTTGAATTTCCAAAAAATCTCACATATATCGATATCAAACTATACAATTCTTACAGGATTCATATCCTTTTCATATCCATATTCATGAATCTTCTCAATAACAGCTGGAATGCCTTCCTCAAAATTTAAAAGAAAACTGACCAGAAAAACTGGCTTCACTTGAGATTTTCTACCCCCACAAAGCTCTGATCATCCGCTGTGGCCTGCTGGGAAAATGCTGTTCTTTAAAGGAACTCTACAGCCTCTTTTCCATTTTGGCTGTAGCTGTAGTTAGACCCTTGCTGTGTATTACAGCAACAATCAAACTTCACTGCTGTTTTGGCTGATGAGATTATGCAGTAGTGTTTATTCCTGAGCAGCCACAACAGTACATATTTTCCATTTTAGCTAAAGTCTGGGGTTTTCAGTGGATCAGGAGTTGGTGCCTGTTAACTCTTGACTGGCTCAACACACCTGATCCAGCTAATTAGCTGTTGGTGAAGGGAGCAGGTGAAAATGGAAAATAAGCAAGACTGTGGGTCTCCAACATCAGAAGTGAAAACTATTTGAAAATATTGAATTTGTTCATTCTATCACACTCCTGTCCAACTTTGATCTGTCATCTCCATAACATCTTTTTCTCATCCATCACAACACTTACTCCTTACATCTGAGGACTGTTCTCTGACATGGATAACAGTCAATCATGGTTTCAGCTGTCTACTCATTTTGTCTTTATTCCAAAATAAGAGCACAGTGTTACTGATGAGGTCTTCATCCAGGATTAACAGATACTCTAACTGTTCAAAAAACCTAATTAGCTGGATGAGAATAAAAAGGATTATTTCAGCTTCATAACAACATGTTTGCTTGAATTAGTTAAACCATATTTGAAGAACAGAGCCCAGCGTGGTGGTTGTAGCTGTCTGTAAAATGATCCACCTGTTCAATTCATCAACAGACTGATGTAGAACATCTGCAGTAACAGCAGTGACACCACGTCACATCCATGAACAAGTTTCTAGTCCATGTGGAAGAACTAATTACTGCCTTCTCTCTCTGTGGAGTGTGTGTGTGTTCCGTCACATCACTCTGAGCAGAAAGTTTCATACTATAATTACCCTGCTCTCAGTCTTAAAGGATTTGTGTCCTTCTTTCTTTCCCTTTCTTAAATTCTTGTCGCCCTGTTGTTGTTTAATGCAGTTGTAATAAACTGAAGCTGCTGCACCCAACAGTAACAATCAGCTTATAACCCTGTCTGTTTGTTTTTTTTCTGCAGAGTGAATCAGCGGGTGACTGAATTTTTTTTTCTAGCATGTGACAAGCACTCCTGTGTGTTTTCATAAATGTGTGTGTGTGTGTGATATGTGGGTCACAGTAAACAGGAAAACCCTTCAGGCCTCCTCTGCCAACACACAGACCTGTCCTCCACACAGGTCTATTTATTCTCTCGTTCTATCCCTTTGGATTTCTGTCATGTTTATACTTCACAACTTTATTTTATTTCATCTTTTTGTCAAAGTTTCAGTTCTGAAGTTTCAAGTCAGTTACGCTCTAAACACAAATACGGCCACAGCTCTGCACAACCCTGCCGGAAGGAGACACTTTTCATGTGAATCATAGGCCTGCAGCCAACGGCTCCGCAACCCACTTGCGGGTGTTTGGGTGCGCTTTGACCCGACCCTGGAGATGGTCTATCTCGGGTGCAACTCAGCACAACCTGGCATGTTTAAACTGGTATTGGAAACACAATTCAACAAGCATTCACTTGGTGCAGCCAAAAGTGCCAATGGAAAAGCCCCATAAGTGTAACAAGCCATGAAATTTCCACCATATGCAGACGACTTACTACTTTGTCTTGATGACTCGTGTCTTTCTCCTTATTTTGAATAATCACATTGGTTTTAATTTCTTGTCATTAAATCAATTTAAACAAATCAGCATTACTGCCTTTAAATTAATGCAACGCCTTGTAATTAACTGAATTGAGAAATACCAGTTTTAGATATCCTTTCATAAATGTTACTACAGAATGCTAATGGACAAAGCTAACTTCTAAAAGGACAAGACTCCCATTTTCTTATGCTACAATGCTTAATTTATCCCCACTATGTTTTTGTGAAAAGATACAATGTCAGGATGAGCAAAATGTGTGAGCATTCTTCTGACTGGTGGTGTAATATTTTAAGAGTTGAACCAAACTGCAACCTCTGCCAGATAATGTGGGATTAGTTGATCGTGTGTTAAATCTGAAATCCCTGCAGGGTCTGCACTGTTTCTATCTTTGCTTCTGTCTCTTGCTCTGTTTCTACCGAAGCAGCTCAAGGCTTTTTCACTTTTTCCCCTCTGCTGCCACATCTCTGTTCTGCAAACGACAGACCTACTGATCTCTATATCTACCTTCTGTTTTTATCTCTTTGTGTCTGCTGTCTGGTTCTCTTCTCTCTCAGGCTCTGTTTTTATCAGTTTGTTTCAGTTTTTCTCCTTAGTCTACTTGTATTTGTTTTTTAATCATTTCTGTCTTCTTTCTCTTTTGATCAAGCTTCTATCCATTCTTCTCTTTTTCAAGTCAGTTTGTCTGCTTTTTCTCTGCCACTCTATCCAATCTCCATTCTTAGTCTTTGATTTTATCTTTTCTACCCCCTTTCTTTATTCATTTATTGTTTTGTTTTTCTCATCTGTTTTCTCTTTTTTCTGTTCATTATGTCATAATCATAATCATATCTCTGTATTTTCTCTTACATCTGTCACTTTTTATTTCTTCTTTCCTTCTTTCTTATCTCTCACAAAATATATCTCTGTCTCCCAAATTCCAAGACCAGAATGTCTGTCATCTCTCTCTAAATGTTTGTCTCCTCTTGTCTTTGGCGTCTCTCTCTTTCTCTCTCTCTCTCTCTCTCTCTCTTCTCCTCTCTCTCTCTCACACTCAACACCACACACACACACACACACACCTCCATTAACCTGTAGCTAACTGCCTCACTGCACCAAAATCATCAATATTCTCAATCAGTAACAGCATTGATCAGACTTGCTCATCTGGTCTTCTCGCTGCTGTAATCAAACCCTTCTTCACTTTAAATGATTGCAGCGTAAACACGGTAAACAACACAAAGATACACACACCTCCTAAAGCTGCTGATCACAGCCTTGCTGCTTCCAAACTATCAATACTTTCTGATCAATACTGGTATTGATCAGGGTTTAGTGGAATCACTAACCTCATGGCTTAAAAGAAGAGGAAGCAGAAGAAAATTCTTGATTCTGTTCTGTCAGTCAGGTAGAATTCAATTGAAAAAGCTTTACTGACAAACATTCAGACAGTTGTGTAACAGAAAATAACAGTGTGTTTTCAGGAATGTTTTGTTGACATTTCATAATGTAGCAGCCTGTACAGCTGGGGGTGTGGCCACTGAATGATGTTGCCTCAAGGGGTCTGGTTAGAAATGGGCCCTTTGTGATGAGGTGACAACCCCCTCCTTTAGGTGATCCTCAGTCTCTTTCAGTGGAGCCGAGCATTCAGTACCTCCTCTTTACTTCGAACCCTAGTTATCTCATGTGGTGCTGCCCTCCAGTGGCACTGTTCTGGACCAAAGTTCAAATATGGTTAAAGGATTGTAGTATAAAAGCTGAACTGGACATGCAGACTATACAGATGTACAGGGTTGATTTAAAATGTATAAACCCAGTGGTGAGAATTATCATCTCTCTAGAACAATCTTCCACTGGAATAAATGCACAAAAATACAGTTACAGATCCATACTTGAATATCATTGGATCTTTTCTGGATACAGGTCCTTTTTTGTCCAGTGTTTAGTTTAACACAAACACAGAGAACAACTTTGGTTGCTGATAAACTAATGCAATCAAAGTATATTACGCATACTTGAATGAACTTTGTCTGAGACTTGCTTTTGTTTGCTTCACAACAACTGAGTCATTACATTTAAATTATTGAAGGTGTTTAGCTTTAGCTTTATAATTAGAGTAGTTAAAGGAGAAAGAGGGGATTTTTAAAACACTAGAATATTTGATGACGGGGCTAAAAGTGGGATACAAAAAAAACTAAAACTAAAGTGGACTTCATAGGCTTTTTTCTGATGTATTTTTCAGTCGTTCCATCCCACACAACTCTGACATCACACATGCTTAAATTTTAATCGATACTGTCTGCACAGCATGTAAAAAGTCACACTTTTTATGTGTGGAACTGCAGTCTGAAGACTATTTTTACACATCAGTGCTAATATGGCTGAACACATCCAGTGTGACACTGACAGAGGACTGATCTCTGTCGTCTCCACTGGTTGCCTGGCAACCTCACAGTGTGACAACAAGACTCAAGGAAGTTTTTAGCCAGGAAATAGTTCCAGCCACAGATAGTTGTTTCTTATGTTTCAGTTTTCAGTTATACTCATCACGCATCACATCACACATCACATCTGAACTGAATAACAAAAAGTTATTATTAACTATTATTATTGCTACAGTTACTGTTGTCGCTGCTCGCTGTCCCCCATCGTTGCTGCTGTCATCGTCACCGTCTTTTTCATGATCGTCATCGATCATTACTATTAATGTAGTTGTTGCTACTATTGTTGCTGTACATCTGTTT